AAACTGATGAGTGGAAGAAAGCATGGGGCTCACGGAAAAAAACCAAAGCAATCTCCACTTAATGAGTTTCCATCATTAGGTAGTGATGTGGTTATTGAAGATGAAGAATTCAGAGAAGGAATTCATACTTAGGGGTTTGTGAATTTTTCGAAACAAGGACGAGGTGAATAGTGAGAAAGGCAACTTTGGGTTGGGAATAAGGGCTTAACTTGAAACAGTGTCATTTCAATAATTCATTCTGCTTAAAAATTTGCAGTACCAACTGCAAACCATTTTTTTTTTTGAACAGTGTGAAATCTTTTCGGGAAATGGGGAATGGGGACTTGGGATTTGATCCCAAGTTCTTTAGTCCTAAGCACGTCCCGCAAGGGGGTGGCCATTGGGCCACCAAGTGCTGGACAACTGCAAACCATTTTATTGATAGATATATATATATATATAAACTATTTTTCAGTGCCTCTCAATTTTCCATGCATTCCCAATGCTCCATGCTTTGCATATGAAAAGTATTAAATAAAACACCATAAGCTACACAAACCCAACAAGTAGCATACCTGACAAGCAAGATCAAACATGCTTAACTTTAATGAGTAATAACAAATTCTTGGGATAGTAGTCTAACTAGCCCATAAACGTAATAAAGCCTTATGATGTCCAAATACAAAAGAGCACATACATAAGTCACTATGGAACTTATACACACTCAAATTGATCCAAAGGGGCCAATAGAAGTGCAATACCTGTAAAACACTTTCAAGGAGTCTATAAATGCCCTCACACTTCTCAAAGGTGGGGACTTTCTAGGAGCTCTTCTCTCTCTATTATATTTCTCTCTAAAGAGAGCCCCAAGTATAGAATATTGCTAACTTAGGCGTCGAAGTGTCTACCCCGAGGGACAACCCTCGGGTTTGTTTTGCAGGTCCTTATGCTGGCCAAGTTATGGTTAATAAGGCTTGTGAAATTGCCCAAACAAATGGCGCTGTCTGTGGGAAATGAATAAAAAGCTTTCATGCTTTGCTATCATTGTTGACTAAGAAGGGAGAGGGAGAAGCTAGATCTGTCATTCCTCAACTTCCTGATTCCAGGTCATCACTCCCCAGCTTCCTCAACTTCCTGGTTTTCTAGATTGTCATCCCTTAGATTCCTTGTTCCAGGTCGTCACTCCTCATCTTCCTCAATTTCCTAGTTTTCTAGGTCGTCATTCCTTAGCTTCTTGGTCCCAAGTCATCACTCCTCAACTTCTTGATTCTAGGTCGTCATTGGTTCCAGATCACCATTCCTCAGCTTCCTGGTGCATGTCATCATTCCTCAGCTCCTTGGTTCCAGGTCATCATTCCTCAGCTTCCTGATTTCAAGTTGTCATTACTAAGCTTCTTGGTTTTCTAGGTCGTCACTCCTTAGCTTTCTTAACTTTCTAGTTTTCTAGGTTGACATTCCCCAACTTCCTGGTTCCAAGTTGTCATTCCTCAGCTTCTTGGTTCCAGGTCATCATTCCTCAACTTCTTGATTTCAAGTCATGATTACTCAACTTCTTGGTTTTCTAGGTCGTCACTTCTCAGCTTCATGGTTTTCTAGGTTGTCATTCCTTAACTTCTTGGTTCCAAGTTGTCAATAATTGAGTAGGGCCAAGCAAGATCCAAATCTCCATTTGGTGAGCTTTTACATCAGTGTTTTATTTATTGCCCTAAAACCTCATCGATAAATGAGTAGGGCCGAGCAAGATCCATATCTTCATTTGGTGAGCTCTTACATTAGTGTTTTATCTTAGCCCCAACACCTTATCAATAAATGAGCAGGGCTGAGCAAGATCTAAATCTCCATTTGGTGAGCTCTTACATCAATGTTTTCTTTGTCGCCCCAACACCTCATCAATAGATGAGCAAGGCTGAGCAAGAACCAAATTTCCATTTGGTCAGCTTTTACATCAGTGTTTTATCTGCTGCCCCAAGACCTTTTTGATAGAAGAGAAGAGCTCTGATAAATATTGACGAGTTGAGCCTTAATAAAGATTGACGAGTTGAGCTTTAATAACGATTGATGAGCTGAGAGAGCTTAGATGAAAAATGATGAGCTCATAGAGCTCCGATGAAGAATGGCAAGCTGAGAAAGCTCAGATAAAGAATTACGAGTTATGATCTTACATCAATGGGCTCCCATAGAGAATTACGAGTTAAGACCCTACATAGGTGGGCTTTCATAGAGAATTACAAGTTAAGATCCTAAATGGGTTAGCTCCAGAAACACCTAAATACTATGACCTGAATGGTCCAACAGAGAATTACAACCTCAGAGAACGAGCTGAGACCCTACATGGATAAGCTCCTATAAAGAATTACAAATAAAAACCCAACATGGGCGAGCTTCAATAGAGAATTTGACCTAAAATACTGATGAGTGGGCTCTAGAGAAATTGTGTTGAGGCTCTAGTGAAACTAAGCAAAAACCATGTGTGGTGAGCTCAGAACTCCAATGTAAAGTGTTTGGACCAGATTTTGAGCAACACCCTTAAAGGTTGCGGGCTTCAATCACAAAGCTCAAACCTCCTAAAAATGATCAACTCATTTGCTCTATAAGAGCTTGTGCCCATCAGTTATTAACGTCTCAGCTCATTTGTTCTATGAAAGCTCAGTTCAATCTTAGCTCTACGGAGCACAACCCTCAAAGGGTTTGATTCCTATGTTATGACTTGAGAGGTTAAGATTTTCATGTGGACGTTTTAAGGAGGGATTTCAAGGAAGACATCTCCAGCTGCCAAGTCGGCATTCAATCTATCAGCTCTACATCATTTTGATCTTAGCTCTATAGAGTGTGATCCTCAAAGATCTAGCTTCTACGTTATGGCCCATGAGATTCTAGGTCGTCGAGTTCTAGGACGACATTCTTTTCTATGCCTCATGACATTAAGTTCATGCATGAAGACTTGAGAAATATCTTCTGCGTCATCACTTTCAGGTGATCAAGTTCTAGGATGACATTCTTTGATATGACTCATGATTAAGTTCACGGAAACCTGAGAGGTTGGTATCTTCCAAGTCGTCATTCTTAGCTTCCTGAGCTTCCTGGTTCTAGGTCATCACTACCAGTTTCTTGGTTCCAGGTCATCATTACCGGCTTCTTGGTTCTAAGTCGTCACTCTTAGTTTTCTGGTTCCAGGTCGTCATTCTTAGCTTCCTTAGCTTCCTGGTTCCAGGTCATCACTACCAGCTTCCTAGTTCCAAGTCGTCACTCCTAGTTTTCTGGTTCTAGGTTGTTATTCTCAGCTTCCTTAGCTTCCTGGTTCTAGATTGTCATTCTCAGCTTATAGGTTGGAAATCTCAAATCAAGGTTTTCGAGCTAGGTTCCTCAAAAATAAATTGGACCTCCCTACAACCTACAACCTATAAAAGCAAGAAGCTGAACCTTTGTGATTTTTCAACAAGCTTACAAATCACTAGTGGGGGAGTAGTGTTGAGATAGTAATCTAACTAACCCATAAACGTAATAAAGGCCCATGAGGCCCAAATACAAAGGAGCACATGCATGAATCACTGTAGAACTTATATACACTCAAATGGATCCAAATGGGCCAATAGAACTGCAACACGTGTAAAGCACTTTCAAGGAGTCTATAAATGCCCTCACACCTCTCAAAGCTGGGGGGCTTTTTAGGAGCTCTTCTCTCTTTATTATATTTTTGTCTCTAAAGAGAGGCCCAAGTATAGAATATTGCTAACTTGGGCATTGGAGTGTCTACCCCAAAGGACAACCCTTGGGTCTGTTTTGCAGGTCCCTATGCTAGCCAAGTTATGGTTAATAAGGGCTTCTGAAACTGCCCAAACACAAATGAATAAATAAAACCTCCCTAATTAAATAGGTTTTAAGAACTCGTCAACAAAATAACTTTTCAAACCTTCAAAGCTAAAGCACAACTTTTGCGAGCCGGTAATTCAATATAGTTTATTGTTCGATAGTGAAATACAACAAATGAAATGAACTGTTCAATAGTCTAGTATGGTTTACTGTTCAATAATCTATTACAATATGATAATCAACAATAGATCTTGAGTCCAAAACATTGCCATTTACTTAATCATGATAAGGGTTAACTATATGGTGAGCCCGGAACATAAACTATTCCAACTCTTATAAACTATTTAATAAATAACAATAATTAATAATTGAAAACAATCACTTCCCACATAGCCACAATCTTATCTCAAAACATTTCTTAAAGCCACAATGAGCCATAATCTCATTTCAAAACATTTCATAAAATCACATGCTTGACCTACAAATCTTCTTATTCCATAATTACATACTTTTCTTTATACAAAAATTTTAAAATAAATAAATAATTTATCCAAACAAGAAATGAAGATAAGTTACTCAAAACTTATTTAATTAAAAAAAACTTTACTTTTAGGGAAAAAAAAAAAAAAACAATGTCAAAGGGTATATCTGCTTCTCTCATTTGCTCCATAATCACTCCACGCTATTATGCTAAATGTTACAATCAATCCTAAACAAGAGAAACCTTAAAATTAGTTACAATTTAAGAGTCCAGCTACGGCAACCCCTACAGCGCCTTTGGAAGTGGCAACAATTCTCATTTAACTTCAACTAATTATTGAATTAGACGATGATACACATACATCCGGTTCGTCACTCCACTCCACACACTATTTTAAAATGTTAATATTCAACAGTTTGGAATTAGAAGTGGAATAGCCAAAAGTTGCTGCCCTTTAAACTGCATTCTTTTATTTTTGTTTCCAAACATGTCGATTTTTAGTAGTTGGAACTTGGAAGTAGAAAAACCCCTCATTTTGTTCTGGATGGTTTAGCTGTCTTCCAATTTGAATTTATTACCCTTGCCTCGACTCTAGCAAGATGTTTGTAACCTGAAATTAAACGAACAAACAAAAGGAAAGGTGAGGAAGAAAGCACATATAGGCTGCCATAGAATTGAATCTGGTCCAATAAGAAGGTGGAGGGTTTAGTGCTGAAGTTTGGGAACGCGAAGAACGAGTAAACATTTATAGGGATTTCTTGGAAATTAAACGAACAAACAAAAGGAAAAGATAATATATGTGAACGAAAGAAAAGATGGAAGGAAAAAGAAAGAGGAAGTGGTGATGGAGTATAGAACTTAGGATCTAGGAGTGCCAGCGTCGGCTTCCATCTCAGAGAACTGAAATCCTCATCCTTAGGAGGGGTGAAATGCATCTTTCAACATGAATGTTCTTGCTTTCAGATTGAATTTCTTTGACATAATTATGTCATATCTCATTTTCCAAATTGGGACATAATATACCACAATTGATCCCCTTTGGCAATAGAAATTTGCAGGTTCGGCCATTCCAAAAACATGGTCACTATGTCGGCGCTTGGGTTCTTTAGCAACGCTGAAAGGTATAAGGGTAATAGAGAGGGACGAAGGCCAATTCCAAAGAGGAGCAGGGTCAAAGGAAGAGAAGAAGAGTGCTTGGATCTGGGGCGATTTCCCTAATTTTAATGGAATCACAAGGTATTTCAACATAAGGTATTCAGAACAAGCTGCGAATAGGTGAATCCCAAGAACAAAATTGTACTTTAAAAACTAAACCGGGATATGTAGTCAGAGGTGTGGGTCTGGAGCGTACATATATCATTCCTCTTATTGGACACAATTTTAAAGAAAATCATCTATCTTAGATAAAATCTAAGAACAAGTTTGAGTCACAATTTTTAGAATCATATTTAAGGGTTAATAAACTCAAATTAATTATAAATGTAATTTTCTAAAAATTAATTAAAAAACATACGTGAAATAAATTTGATTTAAAAATATTCTTGCAATAAAAATATTATATAAAAACTATAAAATCACAATATAAGGTTTGAATATAATTATTAACATAAATTTAAAATTTTGGAAGCTAAAACCATTTTTAAAGATAATTCTCAAATGCTGAAAACTTTACATTTTAAAAAATTTTTATAATTATTGAAACTACTTTAAAAACACATTTTCTTTCAATGCAAATATGATATGGGAAAACTATTTATACCAAGTCAAATACCACACGAAGGACTATAGAAACCAACTTTTTGTCATCGAAAAAAAGTAATCGGAAAGCCTTCTGCTGGTGGTTTAAAATTAGCTACTTAAAACTGTCAAAACCAATTTTCAAGATTTCCAAAAAAAAAAGAAAAAAAAATCAATATCTCACTCAATACTCAACAAAATGAGGTGCCACCACTTCTAAACAAAAGGTCTACTCAAGAGCTTTTCATAGACACCAAACTCACCACTAGAAAGTTGCTCGAGTGACAGCAATATCGCCAAAAAGTTATCAGGTAAATACCCACATCAATAATTCTATGCTATTCCATGAAATCCACAAAGGATATGGAGTTTTGAGAAATAGATTATTCTGAACATGCTTAGACTTCACTTAGATTTAGATTAATCTCACTATATAATCTTGGAACCACGCAATTCTCGTTGGAAACACCCAATAAAAGGAAGCACGCCTTTAGCCATTTCAGGGGATGGGCGGTGGTTCCAAAAATGAATCCGAGTTTTAGGTTTGAATTTGAAAAATATTTTATTGCTAACTAGTCCCCAAACTTAAGCCCTTAAATCCTCCTTTTGTCACATTTAAATCCTTTAAGGGCTTAATTAAAATTATACAAATTTTGGGTGTCACAACTTCTGTAAAGATTTATAAGTACTTAGTCTTTTCAGACAAAGTACTTTTTACTAATACTTAACACCTGTTCAATGCAATTTAATTTTTACTTTAATTTCACATTTTATCTTCATAAAAAAATAGTATTCACTGAAATTTCAACAATAATTAAATAAGAATAAATGCATATAGGTTTGGGAAAAAAATGAAATAAAATATTAGTTTGTTTTCTCTCTCAAAAGAGAAAAAGAGAAATGCCCGCTCAATTCCAAGCCCGTCTCATCTGTTGTGCAAAGAAATGAAGAAACGCACCGTTTTAAATTGTCTAGCATTCTTCGAAACATGAGTGAGTCTCAAGCTGAGTCCCTTGCAGTGTCAACAACCTGCCTCCAAAAAGAGAGCGGACACTGAGCAATGTGCCTCTGATGCTCTTGCTGGAGATGGTGGTGTGGCACTTGCTGAAGGTGGACTGGTGGAGATGTTTTCCGATCGAGACCCAAAGCTGCAGCATTAAATGGAGCTAAGGGCTAAAGAGAGGAAGCTCAGTTATTGCCTCTCACTGGTTTTTCAGAGTAGTGTATTGATTTGCCACTCAATAGAATTTCACACATCACTGGATTTTCTGAGTATGAAGGAGTATATGCTAGCTAGGGAAGAACTGGTGTATATAGGAGTAATAATTTTTTGCATGTGCTCCATTGATAAGTAGCAGAGATAGCTTTGAGTTTTTGCATTGGTGTAGAAGAATTAATGTTAATGCACCGAGAAATATGCTCCATTGATAAGTGTAAATAGAGGTTTGTTTTCCTTTCCCTTAGTAACTATATAACTGCTATAGTAAAATATGAATTGAATCACTAGATAGGAATACCATTAATGTTAAAAATTTTTTTTTTTTTTTTTTGAACAACAAAAAGTAATATTTATTAAAAAAAACGGAGTACAAGGGGTACCCCAAACCC